GTTTAAAAAAAAATTAGCATTGTAACGAAACAGTTCAGCATATTCTCTGTTTTGAATGTCTCTATATTAGCAAGGAGTCTTTTAAAACTTTAAAAGTGAAACTAATTAGTGAAGATCTGTTGGCCGACTGTGAGGCGAAATTCACTCCCTTTCTTTCTTTGAAGTTTTGAAACTCCGTATAATTAGATAAACAATGTTAGTCAGCAATTCAACTGGCTCGTCGCCATTTTAGACACCTCTTTAAGTAGATAAAATAACGGAAGAGGATCTTGTAGCATGGAAGCTAGATTTAAATAAATAATTAATGCTCTCGCATACGAACTCTGCTCGTTTTGAAATCAGATAATTCAATGTTTGAACTGAGTGGGAGGGAAGCTTACTTGGGGCTGCAAGGCAGCCGGAGATTTCCAGCGCAGAGCAGTTCTCCTTCTGGGCACATTTCTGAGAGGGGGACTCCTCCCTCGTGGCCCAGCCAGGTTTCAGTAATACATGCCAGGTCTTCCCCCTCGTCTAATAATAAGTCCTGGACGAAGGGAGCTTTATGAACCACAGACCTGGCATTTAGCAACAGCACCCTGAGACCAGGGCCCTGATTTCCCATGTCACCTGGTTCCCGAGTTGAGCTATCAGGGCCGGAACGAGGGATCGCTGTGACTTAGCGAACCCTCCTTCCCCGGTAATGGCTAGCCCTGAAGCTCCCGTTGTACCTGCCCTCCCAGTCATGACCGTAATGCTCCGCCCTGCCCCCATGCCTGTAGACCCCCCCCTATCTCCCCAGGCCCCCGTTCTTCTCGGCAAGCCATTCAAATCAGACACTCCGGGTTGAGAGGTGGAGCCGGGCCCCCATCCACTTCTGCTTCTGCACTCAGTGGAGGGGGCTCCGGGCCGCGCTCTCAATCCCCTCATACGCACCAAGCAGACATTCTCCACATACATACCCCACTATAGTTAAAAAGAATACAGCAATACAATAAAAAAATAGAATTACACTAGTTTAAAAGAAAGTGGGATCATTCACTCACAGGCATACACATACATACCACATACAAAAAGAGGGAGGGTTGCGCAGATATTAAAGTTGATGTTGATGTTGTGCAAGTGAGTTCGTAAGTTTATAGGGTGGAAACACAAGAGTCAAGTCAATGGCAGCGGGATTTAAAGGGAGTAGTTTGTCTTCTTTCCCAGATAGCGTGGCAGAAGGGAAGTAAAAGTCTGGGTGGCTAAGATGGTGTTCCTGGGGTAGCAGTGGGCGGCAATGGTCGTGGCAAGGAAGTAAGGTCGTAAAAATGGGAGTCCAAAGGTCCAGGTCCATAAGCATAAGCAGAGAGAGCCAGCTAGTATAGATGGTAAGGAGGGGAGCCCCCCCCCCAGCCACAGAGAAGGGCGAAAAGGAGAGGCCACACTGCAGAGAAAGTCCGGTCGAATGGAGGGGGGGGGGGCGCCTGAAGGGGCAGCAATGATGGCAGGCAAAAACTGCTGCCCTCTTTTGTCCAGCACCACATAAATCAGCCACCCCACTCCTTGAAGGCAAAGGACAAGCTGGTCTAACTCCGCAGGCTCCAAGGGCTCTCCCGATCGTAATAGACTGAGACAGAGGCCACCAGGACTGCTGGTTGAAATACGCTGAGAGGGGGGAAAGGGTCTGGGAGGGCTGTGGCAGCGGCAGCAAGCCAGCCGCCCGATCTCCTTTGGCGCCATCCGGGCCAACCACCCCCTCACTAGCACGATGGAGTCAATGCCGTCTAAAGGTTCTCCCACATCTCCCAAGTCCGAAAATTCTCCCGCGTCTCCCAAGTCCACAAAGTCTCCGAAGTAAAGCCAGAAGACACCGACGCTATGAGAGGCTGCCAGGAGCGGCGCCGTCAACGTGACACCACCATCTTCACCGCCAGGTAGAAAGAGACCTCCAAGGTGACCGCGCAGGCTGGGAGCCAGCCAAAAGCGATGACCCTCCAACTGACTGTCCAGCCAGGTCCCCTGGATCATGCTCTACCTTCTGCAGGGATCGCCGCTAGAAAACAGCTGAGAAACCGTGATGTTTCATGTGTTTCGTTCCACCTGCCAGCTGGAGCAAGAAAGCCGGTGGCCATTCGGAAACTCGCACATGCGCAGCCCAAAATTGGAAATCAGATAAGCTACCAACAGATGAAGAAATAATAAAAAAGATATTCGATTGTGCAGAGATGAATAGGATGACAATGAAAATAAAGGATAAAGAGGAATCGGAGTACTTCAAGACATGGGGAAGATTTTATGATTGGCTAGGGAAAGCACGTTAGAAAAGAAAGTAGGGAGAAGATAAAGCACCCAGATGACACACTATTAAATGGAAGGGGGGGTGAAGGGGAAAACAGAAAAGAAAATATTAAATATCTAAGTATATATTCAAGAGCGAGATATAAAGGTGGGGAAACATAACTAGGGTAGTCTAGCGAAAGTAAGGGAATAAGAAATGATACTAAATTATATTTGGGTTGGTGGAAATACCATCCCAAGGAAACATAAACTGAGTTTTGAAACAATAATAGAAATAATAGAATCAACAATAATAGAAAAAGAAAGGGAGGAGGAGAGAATGAAAGGAAGACTGGGAAAAGAAGAAAGAGGTAAGGAGAGGAGGATGGAGGGGAGAGAAAGAGAAGGAGAGAGGATAGGAAGGGGAAGAGCAGGAGTAGGAGAAGGGTAAGGGAAGAAGCAGGGAGAAGGAGAGGAGGAAGGAAGAAAGTAGAGAAGGGAGGGAGAGAGAAAAGAAAAGGAAAACGAGGTGTTACAAAAGGAGAAAAGGATGGTAAATAAAGCAACCCAAACTGTACATTATAACTTACTAAATGAAATAATAAATGTATAAGAATGAATAATGTAAGGAAGA